CGCAATCCCTTCTCCTCCATTCTCCTCTTGGGATCTTGGGCACGCATGCACACGTGCCTGGCATGAGTTTTAAGCCACCGGGTCCGGGACTCAAACCTCGGTTGACTACGTGGGAGTTCAACAACATAGCCATTATGCTAACTGCTGGTCCCTATTTCTGGGGTCTTTTCTAATCCTGATAGTCCAAAGGAAATAGGACTGGCCTTTGGACTGAATGTTACAGGAAATCTCATCATCTCACGTGGTTGTAAACATTTTCCTTATTCCATGGGAGTGACACACAAACTGTCAAGTCTGATAGTTTTATGGCACAGACGCTTGGCAGGTAGCCCTTCTCATGCTCCTGGTCCCATTTCCACCATCCTTCTCTAATGGCATTTATTTTCAGGATAATTCATTTATGAGAACTTTACCATTCAATTCAAGTTAACTCAGCAAGAAATCAAGAAGGGGTGAAATCTTAGGTATGGTGACTCATTACTACTTCCTTGCAAAGAAATGCAAATGAACCTCTCCTAGAAGCAAGCAGCAAACTGCTTCCTTTCATCACAAAGCTCCAATGAGTTGCAAAAACCAAGATTCACATACAGTCCATATCTCCACCACTAACCATGTATGGGATGTATTTCCAGGACCACTTAACAAGTTTTAGCACCCTTGCTCAGAACTCCCTGTGTCTGAGGAGGCACTGAATACAGGTGGTGGAGCCCTAGCACAGGTTAAAAAAGGAAGGGACCCAGCTCTTGTAGCTCCATTTTTCCCTAATACTTAATGAGTCTGGAAGAACTTTTCTTACTTACCCGCCAAAAATATTTCCTGTTGGCATTCTTGGGAACTGTATCACTGGTGTAGATTTCACCTATCAGGGGTCCAAACCGCGTTCCCTTTGGTATGTATTCTTTACTCACCACTCCAATAACCTAAAAGGGATAAAATATATGAAATAATTAGTTTAATTGTAAAATGTTAATTCATCTTTTTAGTTCAATGGCTTGTATTTTCAAGTGGTAACAAAACTAACAACGATAGAATTATAATACAAAGCAGACATTAATGGTGACTTCATGATTAAAGACAAGCTTCTCCTTAGGAAAAGACCAGCTTTTAAAGTCCAAGATCATCAACAAATAATCAAGCATTAGTTTGGAGGATTATTTTCTGGAAACTGGAGGTTCTTTATTATTGTTAATATTTTTCATGCTACAAGAGCAGAGAGAATAATCATTTTATCTTAAAATAAGATGCTGTAGAATTAGATGGTCAAGATCTAGTTTTCTGTTTCTCATTCTCCCTCAAACCATAAACAGTGTGCTTCAGGGAAATATAACAGTTTTGACCTCAGAAACCAAAATAATGCTCTTTAGTAGTTCCACAAAGGCCAAGGAACTAGAAACCAAACACATTTTTTTTTTATTCCTGCTGAGGTATGTGTATGTATATATATGTGTGTGTGTGTGTGTGTGTGTGTGTGTGTATATATATATGTGTGTGTGTGTGTGTGTGTGTGTGTTTAATAGAAAAAGGATACTTCAAGTAATTTGTTCTTCTCTAACATCTCCTATTCAACAGTGGGAAAAAACCATCCTTTTGAAACAAGAATTTATACTAAGGAGATGCGGTTTCTCAGACATTGGGTTCTAAGACCTAGGGAAATGAACTTCTCAAACTGGATATATCACGCATTTTTCACTTTGTAGGGTTTGACTTAAAAAACACGTTACCTATGCCAGTTCCTCCTTGAGGGTAAATTTCTTTTGAGAGGAAAGAGAATCACCAACTATGAATCAGGAAGCAATTCATCACTACTCAGAAGAACTCTGAGTAGTTCTTTACGACCTTGTGCCGTCACGGTTTTGTTTTGGTTTTTATTCCCTCACTTTCCCGTTTTTTAGTTTCCTTTTGTTCAAGTCAGCCTACAAATGATTTAGTAAATAATACCTTACTGAAATGGACAGGGGGTGGGAGAGATGAGGATAATATTTATTTATGGTTTTTATTATTTCTGGTGGTTCCCATGCCATTGTGTACCTGAGATGATCACACAAATGTGTGAATCAATAAATGTCCACAGAGGGTTTACAGTGGGATCTGAGATTCTGATTATTATATGCATGGCCATCTCATTAAACTCATTAGGAATTGAAATCTCTGTTCAAATGAATATCAAATAAGCATACCTATATGATTGTGACGTACCAGTATTTCTCAGGAGTTTCTTATCAGTCAATGATTTTGTTTCTAAAGCAATTTAGTACTCAATATTCAAGTCAAAGGAGCATACTGAGACTGGAAAAAGAAAAAAAAAAATTTCCTATACCTAACCCAAGTTGAAACAAGGTTGGCGAGCTAGAGAGTTATTTTTGGTCCTTTATGAATTTCTGGCAGAGAGCTGAAAAAAGCAGATGTTCATTTCATCCTCCTCCTCTGCCTTCATTTACATCTATTTGCCCTTTCAATAACAGTTCATCATTATTGGTATTCGCTGGCAGCGTAACCATGGGGGACAGGAATATCTGAGAGCAGTCTTCAGATAAAAATACAGCGTAAGTATGTGTTCAAGAGGCTCATTGTTTAGGACATATTATTGAATCTAATTAATTGAGAAATTCATGGAATTGACTTCTATGGCACACAAATCATTAAGACATTCATATTTGAGTGATTCTTCTATAATATTAAAATGACAAACAGGAAAAACAAATAATGCCATTTGTTGGTAAACCAATAATTAGCAGTTGATATTTTCAACATATCCACTTTAAAGCAGTAATTTTAAGAAAGGTACTCAACTGGTTCATCAACTTTGTTTTAAATTATAGTCTCTTGCAGACAGTGCCTTGGGAGTCAGAGCTTGATTACCTACACGGAGCATTACATTGAGGTCATGGTTTGTTTTTTCCAGATTGTCATTCTTTTATAGAATGGGCCTCTTGTCTATCAGTCATACATTAAGAAAACACACAACATTGTTGTGTGGCCCAAAAGAAGTCAACTAGAATCTCGTTTCTAAAAGAATTTGGGGAAGCCATAAAGCCACTCATCCAAAACCTACATGAGCACAGCTATGGACCAGTCACTAGGGAAGTCACAAAGCAGTATTGGCTGTACCTATTGCCATCTATAACCTCGTAGATGCAATTCACCAGCCAAGATAGGAGAACCATTAAAGAGAGGGGCATTTGTGGTAGAAGACGGGTCAATGGGAACACTCAAACCCGGGCCTAATGAAAAGAGTTTCAGTATTAGATTATCTTTATGAATGGGTCAGAACCTTAGTATTATACATTGCTATTATCCACAGAGCTATCAGGTGAATAGAAACTCACCCTTATAGACACAAAGTCATAGCATTTCATGGTCAGAGGGAATCCTCTAGCCTATAAACCACCCATACTCATTCCAAGTCTGGCACTCGAATATACCAAACACCTCATCGCAAATCCATGTCAGAGACATTATTAAAGAGGACAGAAAAGCTGCAGCTCTTAAGATTACAGTGCTTATGCAGGCCATTTTAGAAAGGGGATAGGAATCAGAATCATTTTTAATGGGATAGGAAAAACAAAGTCATCGTTCTCCCTCCTGTCCTGTTGCGATCCAGGCATGTACCTTAGCCAACCCCATTTCCCTAATCCATCCTTTACAACACTCTATACTTGCAGCAAGCACAGGTTGCAGAGGAACCTGGGTGTGCCTTCAATTTCACAGTGTGAAAAAGACCAAGAAT